TGTGGATTCCCGCCCTGCCACGTGAAGACATGCTCTCTGTTTCTCCTAAGTGCCACAAGCCAAGTGCTCCAATCCCTTTTCTGAGGGAGAAATACTTATTTGGGTTCACAATTTCAGAGATTTCGGTCCACGGTCAGCTGGTTCCATTGCTTTGGAGCCAGAACATGAAAGCTGTTTCTTACTTTGTGGCCAGACAAAGCAAGAGAAAGGCCAGGGTGCCGATATCTCCTTCAAGGGCTTGCCCTGTGACCTAACTTCCTCTCTCTAAGTGTCTCTTCCTGATGTGGCCACCACAGGCTGATGGCCACAAGCATCTAACTTTGTAAGAGGTAAAGCAGCAGAAGGTAAAGCCTCGCATCTGAAAACTTGAGGAAGAACATGAGTCTCAAAATAAACTGTCTAAGGGACGAAGCCGGCAATCACGGTATCACAGATGGCTCTGAGTCGGTAGAGGTTAGCTGCATAGTCACCAGCTCAGGAAACAGAATATCTTGGTTAAAATTCTGGGTATGGCCGGGCGGTGGTGGCGCATGCCTTTAATCCCAGCACTTGGGAGGCAGAGGCAGGCGGATCTTTGTGAGTTCGAGGCCAGCCTGGTCTAGAGAGCGAGATCCAGGAAAGGCGCAAAGCTGCACAGAGAAACCCTGTCTTGAAAAACCTAAAAAAAAAAAAAAATTCTGGGTATGGTGGCACATTCCTTCAACCCGAGCACACTCGGAGGCAAAGGAGGATGGATCCAGACCAGTCTGGTCTATAGAGTGAGCTCCAGGCCAACCAGGGCTACATAGTGAGACCCTGTCTCCAAAAAACAAGAGTAATAATAATAAGAGGACACTGGGTAAGAAGACATTGGGGCCGGGGGGTGGCTCAGCATTTAAGAGCACCCAGCACCCACGAGGTGGTTCACAGCCATCTGGGACTCCAGTTCCTGGAGATCTGACACCCTCTTCTCACCTCTGAAGGCACCAGGAATGAATGGGGTGCACAATGCACACACGTAGGCAAAACGCTCCCATACAGACACTAAAGTTCAGCGGAAATGACAGTCCTGTCTCTTACTCATTTCTTGGGCCAGCTGCATGACTATCTGTCCCCTCAAGAGTGGCTGAGAAATCCCCCACTGGAAATGCTAAAAATGGTCATTTTAAAGTAACTGCGCTACAGCTCGGGTTTCTGCTGTCCTGGAGAAGCCAAGTGGCACCCACTGTGCCTGGATAGCCAGAAGCCACAGCTGGGAAGCTGGGTGGCTTTTCTAGCGCCCTCTACTGGCTGTTCCTAATATACTCTTATTCTCAAGCTTGCTAAAAAAATTTTGCACTTTTTTTAAAAAAAAAAAATGCTGCTTTTTGATAGAAAGCCTTTTTCAAGAGTTTGGATGCTTAAAGAGGCCCTCCCCACCCCTGAGGAAGGGTGGGGAAGAGGGTGGGAGGGGGAGGGAAGAAGGGAGAGGAAGGAAGGAGGAAAAGGAGGAGGAAGGGGAGGAAGAGGAAGGAGGAAAAGGAGGAAGAGGAAAAAGATGAGAAGATGAGGAGGAGGAGGAGGAGGAGGAGGAGGAGGAGGAGGAGGAGGAGGAGGAGGAGGAGGAGGAGGAGAAATGCTGCCATCTCCAAAATACAAATAAAATACCAAAATGGTTTCTCTGTGTAGCCCTGGCTGTCCTGGATCTCTCTCTGTAGACCAGGCTGGCTTCGAACTCACAGAGACCCACCTGCCTCTGCTTCCTGGATGCTGGGATGAAAGGCGTGCGCCACCATCTCCCACCAGCTGCTCTGAAAGTACAATCCTTGACCAGCAGTATCAGTAGTAACTGAGAACTTCTGGAGTACCAATTCTAGAGTTCTCCCACAAGCTACTAACTTACCCTGTATCTGCCACACAGGTGATTCTGATAAGACAATGAATCAATTATCCACGGGCAGGTTTCTCCCAAACCAAGAGTCACAGTTCTGGTAAAATGTAAAGGGAACATGTAAGCGTAACAAGTTGAGATCTGTTTGTTGCTGTACTGGGTTCAAGCCCTTCCAGCGGCGTCTGGCTGTCTGGCTGCCGGGGTGCTTGGAGCAGGCTCCAGTTACTGATATGCCCAACACTAGCATAGTTAATGTTCGACAGCTACTGCGTGAAGGAGTGAAGAGATGAATGGATACACGCAAAGGAGCAGTACACACACACACACACACACACACACACACACACACACACACACACACACCATCTGCTCCTGCTTCGGGGACAGCCCTAACACTGAGCCTAGACAACCCTAGAGCCACTGAGACCAGGATGAGCCCAGAGGGATTGGAGTGTCCCTCTGCATTCTCAGATCAAATCAGACGGTCAAATATAACAGCATTCCAGCTCCACTTTTCAATGTCCAGACCAGCAAAAACACAATCATCCGTAAGGACAAAGTTAGCGGAAGTCTAAAGGACCACTTTCCCCCCTTCATCAGGTCCCGCTCCCTCCGCCCTTCAGGGTGCACTCGGATGCAGTTGCCCCCAGGACCCACCCTGAGCCAGCATTCAGAGCCCCAGCACTGGCTCATGTCACACAGAGGGTTACCAAAAAGGCCACCACTTGCCTCCCTCTCTTCTTGGGCATGGATATCTTACACATACCATATGGTTTTCAAATTCAAGCGCCCCATAAGCAGGCCTTGTCATCCCAACCAGATTGAGAAACTAGGCAGACAAGTCATGGTGCATCCATTAACAAAGCCGTGCGGGGTTACACAATAACAAGAGGAGTCTCTGCAAGAGAGGAGCTCATCCAGTCCGTTCCTTCTGACTCATTTCCTCTGGAGAACTTACTTAGAATAAATCGGGCACAGGGCCACACAATAATGACATTGGCAACGGGAACCCAGTAGAGAAGTCAAGAGGAACGACATGACTCTGCCTCCAGGGCTTCTGCAGCGGGCTAGTCACCTAGTGTGGCTTTGAATTCCTCATTTAGAAAGGAAGGGAGAAAGCCCAGTTTCTTAAAACTTTAACTAAAGGGGGAAAAAAATCAGAGACTAATTCAATGCTTTTATATACTAATTAGAAAAAATAACCCAAGCATAACCTTTTTAAAAAAAAATCACAAAAAATACACGTGCTAGTTGCTTTCTGTTGCTATGATAAACACCAAGACCAAAAGCAATCTGAAAAGGAAAGGGTTTACTGTAACTTACAGGTTCCAGTCCATCCTTGAGGGAAGCCAGGGCCGGAGCTTGAGGCAGGACTTGAAGGGGAGACCAGGTAGGAACGTTGCTTACTGACTTGCTTCCAAGCTTACGTTCAGGCACCTATCTTGGACCCACCTGCCCACAGTGGGCTGAGCCTCCCTACATTGATTAGCAATCAGGAAAACACCCCACAGACAGGCCCACAAGCCAATCTGATGGAGGTGATTCCTCAGCTGAGGTTCCCCTTCCCAGGTATGTCAAGTTGACGACCAAGATTAGCCATCAGTCACAGCTTGGAAAGATTTTGTTTTAATTAGCTTTTACTGCCAAATTATCTGCTAGATACAAGCAGTCCTGCTTTGCTGTAACTGGCTGAAGGGTGTGTATTCACGAGGGGATGAGGCACCATTACACCCATTCCTGTCAACATTAACCTTTCCCCCGCCTCTGTCTTCCTGCCTTACTGAAAATGACCAACTCGTTATTAAAAAGAAAATAAAAATAAAAATGGTTAGTTTCCAGATGTGGCTTTCTTCAAACTGGGGCAAATCACTGGGCCATGTTCCAGCTCCGTGAGAACATCAGGTGAAGGACGGAGCGAAAGTAGATTAGTGGACCAGCAGGAGGGAAGAGGGATCGGGAGAGGGGACAGGCAGGGGAAACAACACCGGCAAAGGGGAGAAAATTAGCCAGAAGCAAGACAGGAAAGTCATAATATTTAGGGAGACTCTCTCTCTCTCTCTCTCTCTCTCTCTCTCTCTCTCTCTCTCTCTCTCTCTCTCTCTCTCTCGTGTCAAGGGGGAAAACGGCCCTGTTTTATTTCAAATCTAAAGTTAAGCCTAAGATGCAAAAAATCCTGAGGCGTGCTGGGAACAGGAGAAATAAGTCTTTCTCGGGGAAGAGCCCAGATGGGTTATCCAAGCGCTCAGCCCTGAAATCATATACACACAGGTAACATTATATGGACGGAGCAGGTTGCGTTTATATAGGCGTGTGAGTGTGTGTGTGTGCGAGTGTGTGTGTGTGTAAGTCCAACTACAAAAAGAGATCATGAATTTGAGAGAGGGCCAAGAGGGTACATGAGGGGTGTTTGAAGAGAGGGAAGGGAGAAATTCTTAATTATAATTGCAAAAAAGTTTTAAAAATTAAAACTGAAAAATCCCTTATCAATGGAAAGACCCATTTCTTTAAAAAATGCACAGGTGCCTCTTAACGTGCTAAGAACTACTTTTAAAGCTGCTTTAGGACAGGGGCTACAGTGTCAGTGACCCAGCCCTTCCTACCACGTGGGAACTAGGTTCATTCTCTGGCACCAGTAGGGAGGAATCTGGTTTTTTCAAAGGTAAAACGAGGGCTGGGGACACAGCGCTGAGACTCGGCATTTGCCCAGGCACCCGTAAGGGTTGACTCTGATCCCCAGCACTGCCGAAGGGGGTGGAAGGTAAAGGATTCAGAAGTCAAGTTGACTACATTTCAAGGTAACCCAATAACTGAAGATGCTCTCTTTGTAGACATACATATTCTGGCTAATAAATTATAAATAATGAAAACATCACCACTTTGGAACCTCTGTCCTACAACCTATGTAGGAAGAAAGCCACAGTCACAGTCACAGTCACAGTCACAGATGGCAATCTGAACACACCTCTGTTATTTCAGAGCAGTGGGATAGATCGGGAATGACACTATCGACCAGCCATAAGAAACCAGGAACAAAGAGCCGCGAAGATTTGGAAATAGTGAGTGCTGTTTAGGCGTTTAGCTGCCGATCATGAAACACAGGCGTTTCTCAGGCTCGAAGAGAAGGAAGAGAACACGAGGATTCGCATTTGAGTCAGAGAAGATGTTCACTTTTTATTCAGACAGCTTTCGAGTCCATTTCCAACATGTTTTCACACACAAGGCCTTCTCGAAGTCCCACCCCGACCCTTGGAAAAGGCAGCCCACGTTTTCTTGGCCCACTTTTCAAAGCTGTTGAGCTATAGGGCTGACATGCCAGGGTAAAAGACCCACAGGCTGCCTGCTAGACTTAAAGATAACCTGAGGGAGTGATCGAGGAGGGAAGGCTTGCTTTTTGTTTTGTTTTGTTTTGTTTTGTTTTTCTCGAAGGGTCAATTTTCCAGTTTTCAAAGGGCCTTGGTTCCCCAGTTAACAATCTGGCTTCATTTGAAGACATCCCCCAAAATGACACTGTCAGATACCAGGCTGAACCCCATAGAGGACAAAAGTGTTAAGGGTTCATCCATTATCCAAACAGCACCCTAAAATTCGACACTCAGTGGACCTCCGGGCAAATTCAGTGTTGGTCACACTTCCAGTTACCTAGAATTCATCGGCTGTGGTCTAGAAATAAATGCCAGGGTAGGCAGTTCACAGGAAATGTACCCACCTCCTCTCCAACCAGCGGAGCAGGCATGACAGACCATCTCAATCCTGCTTCCAGAGGGCAAATCCCAACAAAAAAAAAATCACTTTTCTTCTTGACTTGAACTAAAATCTGGGCAGCTTATATCTGTGTGTACATCTCTGTGTCACCACTGGTTCCCTGGAGGCCTCCGTCCTGCCTATGGTCACCATGGCAGTGTGGAGCTTCCTCCTCCAGTGACTTTAGTCTGGCTCAGGACCTGTGCTCCTCAGTGGCCAGGAATGTTACAAGACTTCAGACCTACCTTGGGAAGAGGAGGAGGAAGAGGAGGAAAGGAGAATGTATCCCTAGAGGACACACCTGTCCAACAAGTCAAAAGCCTGGCTTCCCAGAAGCAGAGGAGCTTGGCTAAGAAAAAAGAAAGCAAGCTAGAAAAAAAACAGAGTAGGAGGCGGTAAGGCAGGCCAGCCCTCAGGACAAGCGGCCCTAGAAGGAGAAACCAACACACAAACCTAAGAAGCCAGTGTTGAAGAAATTCAGAGTTCACCTTGGCATCTCCTGTGCCCAAGGGAGGGTGCCCACCAGCTGTGATCTGGCACAGGTGTCTACACCTGAGTCTAAATGTAACAACGTGTTCTGGGGGGCCACACAAGAGCCCACAACCCAGCCCTCCTATCTCAGGAGGCTCTTGGAGAAGAACCCTGCCAACATGCAATATGTACACAATAAAATTTGCTTGATCAGAAAGAAAAAAAATATATATATACATATACATATAATTAGAAAACTTTATTGAGGCGCTTCAGAAATAAAGTATCAGTACTGGTCTCTGAGGGTCCTCCAGGACCGCCTGACAGCACACAGGGGCTTTAGAGTTCCTGTTGTCATAATAGTCACATCTGCTTTCTGTTCTTTGTAAATACCTCTTAAGTTACTCCAAAATACGCTTAAAAATAAATATATCATTCAAATATGTATATATTTGACTATTTTCAGTACTTTATATATGCATGTCTTATTTACAGTCCTCCACAGTCCACTGGAGTCTATAATTTTTTATCTACCTAGGGAGCCATATCATTAAGGCTAATGGTGGTTTCATCCAGGAAAAAAAAAAATGCACACCAAGGGTTATTTTTCAGTATCTCGGCAAAGCACGAAGCAGGGAAAACGGCTTGGCTTTTAATTTCAAATGTTTTCAGTTTAATGTAAGGTCGCTATTATAAAATTTGTTCATGTTTGTATAGAACCTGGAGAAAATGCAGAGTAAATCACTACTTTCTGTTGAAAGAAGACCGGCTTAAGATTATGTGAAAGAGGGGAGGGCCAGAAAACTGGCCAGTAGATTCTTCTACAGGTAGACCACACTTGCCCAGGAGGCCTTGGAAGGGCTCCATGACTGCTGGTGTGGCCACCATGCTCTGTAGACACCCCACAAGACAGCGGCTCCCCACAACCATGACGAGAGCATGGATCTGACCAGGACATTCACACAGCTCGGAAGGACACAGCCGGCAGAAACGGCTCAATTCTTCTTGGTGGCTTCTTCTCCTTCTGAATCAATAACCCAGAAATGCTCCCCACGTTGACCCTCTGCTTCCCTGTGAACACACTCAGAAGGGAGGGACAGAGGAGCCTGTCCCCAGACACCTGGTGCTGCATCTGAACATGATCTGCAGAGGGCAGGGAACCAAGTCCAGACGTGATGACCTGGGACTGCACTATGAAGTCCAGATGTGCTGAAGGGCTGACCTGGGACTGGACTATGAAGTCCAGATGCGCTGAAGGGCTGACCTGGCCACTGGATTATGCAGCACAACTGATTTTGAGCCAAGCACGAAGTATCAAGACCATCATTTTGATTTTATAAAAGCTGTGTTGTGTGAGAACCTAAAACACGGCTACAAACACACGGCTGCATGCTTTCTAAACCTGAGAGTAACCAGACAGGGCCAGATGTAAACACAGTCGGGCAGGGAAGTGACGTCAAGCGGGTAAACCCACGTGGAGAAACCCTGCACGCCGCCTTGGGCTGACTTCAAACAGAGTAACACCAAGCGTTTTAGAGGTAAAAACAACAAATGCAGATGGGTGTGGCGGTCACCTGAAAAGAGCCTGTGGCTGGTTGAGTTGCCATAAGGGTCGATACCAACCGATCATCTCCCACTTCACTACCTGATAGAAATCTCTCACCAAGGTTCTAATTACAGCATGACACTAATTAGACGAACCTGTCAAACGGGTTAACATGCGCGTCAATGAGACTGGAACAGTCCCATCTGGTATCGTATCCTGGCTGCTCTTCAGGGACAGAGAGAGAGGATGCTGAGAAGTGAGTTGGGGCACAATGTTCAGAATAAGAACAAAAAAATCTGGAAAGGTACATGAAGGAACGATCAACATCCCATCTACAGGAGACACAGGAAACGGGAAAATACTGACACTACTTTGCTGTAGCCACGGCACTTCCTAGACTACTCTTTGGAGATTCCATCCTTGGTCTTAATTGCTTAAGAAGTGTGCAACATGATTAGGGAAGATCTGTCTTTAGCTCAGCTCCCAAAGAAGCATGAGTGGACGTAAATTCTAGTCACAAACTACCGTTGCCCCTCGGAGCAACGAGGAACACCGTATCCAGTCTTGGAAATCCTTGGGCAAGCTCCTGCTAACCTTTGGATCCGGGTTTCAGACTTGCAAACACTTTGGGGTTCTTAAGGGCAAGAGAGAGTTCGTTGAGGAAGGAAATAAAATGGGAGTCTCTCTCAGATTTCTTGGACTCAAAAATAACAACGATGGTGAAGTGGGGTTCTGGGCGGGTCAGGAAGTAGGTACTCTGCACTTTGTCATCATAGAAGTGGACCACTTTCTCCAGGCTGTTCAGGTCCGATGTTCGGTCTGTCATGATCATGATGACATTGGGCCAGTGCATGACCGGCCTGTCACTGGGCAGAGACACTACGGCCGGGTACTGGTCCACCCCTTTAGGGGCCTCTCGGTAGGAATGTGGGTGGTGGTAGCCGTGACCCTGAAAGCTCTCTGAGCCTCGGTTGTCAAAAATTAAGGACACATTGGCAGCGTCGTATTTCCTGATGAAACTGGAGATCTTCCCAAAGAGGTCTGGGTTAGCCTTCGCAGTCAGCCCTTTCATTTCTGAAGCCGTAGTCTGGCGGCTCAGCGCCTCGTGGAAGTAAAAGCTGAACTTGGCCAGGAGCATGTTTTTGAGTTTCATCAGCCAGAGGAAGAGGTGTGGGGGCTGCACGGCCTTCTGAGACTGCCCCCCGAACAGGTGTTTCTTGGTCTCCCGCTGCTTCTCAAAGGTCTGGCCCCAGCTCTGAAGCTTCGTGTGAGCGTTGTGCAAGGTCACCAGGGAAGGGAGGAACTTCCACTCGGAGATCTGGGCCTGCGCCCTTAGGAGATGGCTCAGCACACCCACCTCCAGCTGGAAACTGCTCTCCAGAGGGCTAAGGATAGGGTGGTGAAATCTAGGGGAGGGGATGGACACAAGTCAGTGGCAATGTCACTTCAGTGAGGACCTTCACAAACAACAAACCAGCACAAACCCCAAACACCACCGCCAGACAAGTGCTGCCCGGGTCGGCCGCACCGTCGGGCAGAAAGGCACTGACTTTTTACAACTCTGGTTTAACACGGGCATTTCATCTTATTCTCCCAAGAAAATACCCTGGATTTTGTGGGTTTTCTTTTAATGAATGTAACTATCTTCCTTCCAAAGAAGGAGAAATTACATTGACTATAATTATTTATTTACTCCGAGAACTGTATGACTAACACGATCATCAAAACCAGGGGTCCTCTTTTCAGGGCATGCAACCAAAAGACAATACTAAGACATCTGCTGTCCACAGACACACTAGTTCATAGACCCATTTTACAGATGAACATAAACACTATAAACCTGTATCTGAGGCTCAATAGGTAATGGGCACTTAATAAAGGAATACAGCATTTACCAGACAACTGTTGTCCATTCTACTCCCAAAGTCCCTTCATAGTTAACCATGATGAAAAACAAATGGCGGCCAAAGGGAGACGGGAAATAGAGCACGCTGGAACAGTGCAGTGAAGAGCAGAAAGGACCTTCGGTAACTGGGAAAAGGAGCCATGTGGAAGGGGGAGGGGCAGGCCAGGAGAGGGCAGGGGGAAGGGGGACAAGTTCAGACAAAGAACAGTGACTCCTATGTAAGAAGATGCCACGATGAAACTCATTATTCTGTAATCAAACCTAAAACATTAATTTTAAAAGAAAAAAAGGTAGCCACAAAAGAAGACCTAAAATCCTTTAAAATCACTTCCCTCAAATCCTTAGAAGGTATTAAGACCTTGAATATTCTGATCCCTACTCAAATTGAGTCACATTCCCACCACCCCACCACCCGTTTCTAGCTAGTGTGAAATGATAAAATTATACCACTTCAGGGGCTGCAGAGGTGGCTCGGGGGTTAAGAGCACAAAGCGCTCTTGTAGAGGACTTGAGTTCAGTTCCCAAAATCCACATCAGTTACAGGTGGATAACTGTAACTCCAGCTTCAGCAGATCTGACGCCCTCTTCTGGCCTCCACTGGCACTGCACTCATATGCACATACCCTCCCCACATACATATACATCTAGTTAAAAATTAATAAATAAAATATACTATGTCAAGATCAAGACAGTAGCGCAGTTTTACTCCCACCTACACAACGTGTTTTACATTTTTCTTACCATGTGCTGCAGTGACAGTTTATACTGTGGCCAAGTACTACACACATGTGTAAGTTTTACTCCTTACTATGCACAATGTAGCTGGATATTTTGTAAAATATACATGTACATATATATGTCATATGTCACATTTCTGTTTAGTAAATGAATTTATGAATGTAGACTGTTGACTGCCATCTGTAAACGCGCTTCCACGTCACAACAATATTAGGGGAGGAGGCAACAAGATGTGGAAGTACCTTAATTTCTCAGCAGAGGAGGATGGACAACTTAAGAAGAGTAGGCCAGTGAGAACATGGCCCTTCTTCATCAATGTTTCTCAATTACTCTTCAGCTCTCCTCTGCAGTCACTGTCTTAGAGAAATCTGCTTCCAAGCTAGGTCAGGCCCCAGCACTAGCCACTCTTTTTTTTTTTTCTAAGATTTATTTATTTATCTTTATGTGTGTTTTGTCTGCATTTATGTATGTGCATATATGTATGTATGTATGTATGTATGGATGGATGTATGTATCTACATGTTCTATGTCTGTGGAGGTCAGAAGACAGTGTCAGATCCTCTGAATTTGGAGTTAAGAGATAGTTGTGAGACATCATGTAGGTGTTGAGAACTGAACCTAGGTCCTCCACAAGAACAGTAAGTGCTCTTAACTACTGAGCCATCTCTCCAGCTCCTGAGCCAGCTTTCAAACCCCACTTCCTTAGACACAGTTCTGCCCAGAGTAGGTTGGGCCTCCCATATGTTGTAGAATATTATTGTAAGCTGTGTTACTTTTATGTTACATTTATTTAACTCTCTGAAGCTCTGTTACTGTGCCTGTCTAAGACACTTGATGGTCTAATAAAGAGGTGAACAGGCCAATAGCAAGGCAGGAGAAAGGATAGGCAGGGCTGGCAGGCAGAGAGTATATATAGAAGGAGAAAACTGGAGTAAAGAGAGCTAGGAGCCAGAGAAGGAGGACTCCAGGGGCCAGCCACCCAGCTACACAGCAGAACACGGACTAAGAGTAAGATTTACAGAAGTAAGAGAACGGGAAAAGCCCAGAGGCAAAAGGTAGATGGGTTAAATTAAGTTAAGAAAAGCTGGCTAGCAACAAGCCAAGCTAAGGCTGGGCATTCATAAGTAAGAATAAGCCTCCGTGAATGATTTATTTGGGAGCTGGGTGGCGGGCCCCCCCAGAAAGAGTCAAATACCAAAACAACACCCATATCAACATCAGTCACGGCAATATCCCACAGACACGCCCACATACCAAACTGATCTGGACATTCCCCCAATTCAGACCCCTCAGATGACTGGGCTCTGGCAGGCTGACAGCTGACTCCGGCAGAACATCCTACTGCAGACGCTCCTGGACTTGCGGCCCCATCAGCCCATCCTACCTTTAAAATATTACAAGTCCAAACATGCTTGACGCTCCTAACCTACCAACCACCACAGCTCATCCTGCAATGGTCCCCTGCAGTGTCGGCTGCCACACCCCAGGACTGCTTGGCTAGCTGACAGCCGAGGCCGCCCAGTGTTACTAGAGCACTGTACTGCATTCTGCTAAACCTGGCAAATGATCAAAGTCCAAAATGCCAGGCACAGCTTCTACTGAATGGTCATCGCTTTTGCAGCTTTGAAAAATCATAAAAATCGCCGGGCTGTGGTGGCGCACGCCTTTAATCCCAGCACTCGGGAGGCAGAGTGGATGTCTGTGAGTTCAAGGCCAGCCTGGGCTACAGAGTGAGATCCAGGAAAGGTGCAAAGCTACACAGAGAAACCCTGTCTCAAAAAACAAAAAACAAAACAAAACAGAAAAATCATAAAAATCATTTAAAAAACCCCACAAGCCGGGAACCATGTCTGATCTTCCTACTGCGTGCCACCATAGAAATCACCATGTATTGCCAATGATCTGCTTCAAAGGACATGAAGTCTCAGACCAAACCTTCAGAAACGCTTGTGAGCAAGCGTTTCCATGACACCACAGAAGCGTAATGTTCTACACTCGTTAAAGATGCATGTGAATGCAACACTCTTTTTTCATCCTCAAGGAAAGCTAACCATTCGTCCTGTCGGTCTGCCCAGCGCAGACATTAGCTTTATGACGCATCATTTCCCAGCCTCCTCTCCTCCGCGCGCCTTGCGGCCACTCACACACAGCTCACTCAGGCTGTGATCCACAAACATACTCCTAAGTCAAGGTGGTGAGCTGGGCAGTGTCTGAGACAGGAGACTGCCAACAACCTGTGGAGAACACTGGCTCTAAAGGAAAGGAGAGAGCATGGGAGGAGGGGAGGAAGGAGGGAGGACAGGCAGCAGGAACCCGGGGTCCAGAGCAGGTGTGCTGATGAGAAGCAGAACTCCAGAAATGATATTCTGTCCTCCACAGACCCACACGGTGGAGTCCCTTCCAAAGGAACTCATTTGTAAGAGTCAGAAGTAAGAACCAATCTGCAGAAGTACATATTTAAAAATGATGAAAATGGGAAATTTTACGTGGTGTCTATTTTGCTACAACCGAAGAAATCTGTAGCCCTTTCTCACTTAAAGCCACTAGTCTGCTGCTCCTTAGCCACCATCCCACTGAGGACATTCTAGTCTCCCTGGTCCACAGGTCCTCTGTTCCAGGCTCCCTAGGGGACAGTAGTGAACCTTATATCTTATTCATAGACGTGATAAAGTTTACCTTATAAATTAGACGCAGTAAGAGACTAATAACTAATAATAAAATACAATTATTAACAGTATAGAACAGTTTAAGACAATGTGGTCTCTCTGATCTAGGTGTCAGCAGTTGATACAGTACTGACCTACTGGACAAGGACCATGCCCACCGGGTGGCACAGTGTGACTTCATCACACAACGCACACATCATTTTGTGTGTACATGTGTGTGCAAATACACGTGTGTGTGCAAATGCACGTGTGTGTGCACTGAATGTAGAGGTCAGAGCACAAGCTTAGGTGTCATCTTACAGGGCTGTGGCTTCCCATTTTTAGAGATGGGAAAGAGAGCCTCTCACTGGCCTGGAGGGAGCCGAGCAGGCCAGGCTGGCTGGCCCGTCAGCGACAGGGATGGATCTGCCTGTCCCTACCCCCTCAGCATGGGGATTACCATGCACATGCCACTGTGCCCCGCTGCTTTTCACATGTGGGTTCTGGAAATGGAACTCAGGTCCTCTGCGAGCACTTGGCTGACTGAATTATCTCCCCAGCCCAAGCATGCGATTAAAAACCTGTTAATTTCTTGAACTTGTTACATTTCAGATAGTAGATGGTGGGCAACAGAAACTACAGAAAGCAGGAGACCTGCTCAACGGGGATTCCTGTGCAAGGATGTGGTCGGAGGTCTGCCCTTTAGAACCTTCCACAGTAAGAGGTGGTATTTATAACACACACAAAGTAGAAACTCATTTAACATGAGGGACACAATGCAGGAAATTATCACCCAGCCTTCCTTACAAAAGGAAGGAACACTGTCACATGCTTTAGCATGGATGACCTTTGAGGGCATCGTATCAGGCAAAATCACATCAGTATGCAAGTTCCTTGAAATAAACTACTAGACCTATGATATGACCAACCAGGAGTGGAGGACATCTGTGAGGCAACCCGGGAAATCTGCATGCGATTTATATATTATGGGATGGGAGAAAACCAGTGTGAAACATCCTGAGTGTGAACACTGTTCTGATTATGTATGGTTCTTAGAAGATGAGAAGCTGAGTATTTGGGAAGGTGGTTTACGATACTAGTATCTTACTTCCAAACAATAGCAAAGTTTTTGTTATTGTTCTACACAGGGAGAGAGAAAGCCAGCATGGCAAATGCTAACCAAATGTGAGGTTGGACAAAGGACAGTTGTGTGTTCGCTGCAGACTTTTTATGCACGTGTGTGCTTGAGTAAGTTTATGAGCACCATGTATACTCAGGAGCCCACAGAGGCCCAAAGAGGATATTAGGTCCCCTGGAATTGGAGTTACAGAGGTTCTGAGCCATCTCTCCAGCCCTTGTTTTTTCATTTTTAACAGCTTTGTTGGTATTTAATTCATGTCCATAAATGTACTGTAAAATTCACCCTTTAAGAAAACGATTCAATGTTTTGGTACACTCAAGAAATTGTGCAAGCACCATACTGGAATTGCTGGTCACATGGTGAGTGTGTTCACCACACTCTGCTTTATATATAAACTGAATTGCTGGTCACATGGTGAGTGTGCTCATTATACTCTGCTCAGTTTTCCCTTTCTTTTCAAGATTTACTTTTGATTATAAGTGTGTGGAGGTGTCCATGCGTGAATATGGGAGCACATAGAGGCCAGGTATCAGATCCCTTGGAGCTAGAGTTACAGGCTGTGATGATTTGAATGAAAATGGCCCCCATAGGCTCATAGGGAGTGGCACTATTAGGAGGTGTGGCTTAGTTGGAATAGGTGTGGCCTTTTTGGAAGAAGTGTGTCACTGGGGTGGAGGTGCTTTGGGGTTTGGGAAGCTCAAGCCAGGCCCAATGCCTCTTTCTATTCCTGCTGTCTGCCATTCTGAACGTAGAACTCTCAGCTCCCCCAGCACCATGTCTGCCTGCATGCTGCCATGCTTCCTGCCGCGATGATAATGGACTGAACCTTTGAACTGTAAGCCAGCCCCAATTAAATGTTTTCCTTTTAAAAAGAATGGCCATGGTCACGGTGTCTCTTCACAGCAACAGAGCTTTGACCAAGTCACAGGTGGCTGTCAACTACCCATTCCATAAAGTGGCATTACAGTAATTATCCTAAGACAGAGATGAAGACAGGACACTGGGTGCTGAGAACTAAGCTCGGGTCTTCTGCGAGAGCAGTGCGTACTCTTAACCACTGAGCCCTCTCTCCAGCCTCTGTAATGAACTTCAGGGCTGGAGAGATGGCTTCTCTGCCAGAGGATCCAGGTTCGATACCCAGCACCTATACGGTGGCTCACAACTGCCTGTTGTGGGATTTCATGCCCTCTTCTGGCCTCCGCAGGCACCAGGCATGCACATGGTGTATATAATATATATGCAGGCAAAACACCCATAACATATTTTTTAAAAAGAAAAAAAAAAAGGCAGGAACTAAGTGTGTACACATACACCACAATCTTAGCACTAGGGAAGTTGAGTAAGAGGATGGAGATTTTAAGGCTAGCCTTGGCTACATAGTTTACATCGTGAAATCCTGCCTCAAATATAACACACACACACACACACACACACACACACACACAAAGGGAGAGGGAGGGAGGGAGGGAGGGAGGGAGGGAGGGAGAGAGAGAGAGAGAGAGAGAGAGAGAGAGGGAGGGAGAGAGAGAGAATGCACACAGTGGCTCAGGTCTGTAATCACTGCACTTGGAAGCCTGAGGCAGGATTCATGTAAGTGTGGAGAAAAGCTGGACTACACAAAGTAAGATTCCATCTCAAAAAACTAAAATAAAGTAAGAGGGAAGGGAAAAAAACTAATCATGTCTTGTGCTCAAGCACACAGGCAGGCAGGCATAATGTGAGTTTATGCAGGAAACAGTCCTTATTCCCAGTAGGTGAACGTGGGAAGGGCCTGCTGTGCTGTCCGACCAGCCAATCTCATTTGCTGAATGCAAAAGTCCGCAGAGAGAAATGAACCACTTGGAGCAAGCAGGGAGCAGCTCGAGTTCTATACGAGCAACGGTGACCACAATTACACGAGCTCTGCTGTGGTCTGAGCTTGGGAGGAGAGCACTCGCTTACCAGGAGAGGGGCCTCGGCTTCAACCTCCAGTTCCAAAAACAGAAAGAAAAACAGACAGACTCTGAAGTCAGAGAGGGGTGAGTTCTGAGCCAACTGCCTCACTGCTGGGCCTTCGTAAAAGGAGTGCCATCTGCACCCGTGACTGAAGCCAGGCAACAGGAAGCGTCTTGCAGAATGCACGGCCCACCACAGCTGCTCAGCAGCTGCCATTTTCCTTCACAGTGGATGACTAGACGCCAGGCAGGGTAATGCACGCCTTTAATCCCAGCGTTCAGGAGGCAGAGGCAGGAGGATCACTATGAGTTTGAAGCCAGCCTGGTCTACAGAGTGAGATTCTCTCTCATAAAACAAACACAGAAATAATAGATGGTATAAATAGTATACTCTTTTGAAACCTACAAGCTACAAAATCAAATGATGCTTTGTTAAGTAAACTTGACGTTTTCATCTTGAAACAGTTTTTAAATTGGGTAGGATGGCTTTCACTGTTTCCTTGACTTGGGACCTGTCAGCTGAGCTTAGGCCTCTACTTTTTTTTTTTTTTTTTTTTTTGGTTTTTCGAGACAGGGTTTCTCTGTGTAGCTTTGCGCCTTTCCTGGAACTCGCTTTGGAGACCAGGCTGGCCTCGAACTCACAGAGATCCGCCTGGCTCTGCCTCCCGAGTGCTGGGATTAAAGGCGTGCGCCACCACCGCCCGGCTAGGCCTCTACTTTTAACCTGCCTGTGGAACCTCACCTGGAAACCAGCTACTAACATCTTGACCTCTGGTTTAGCTTGGTACCCTCCTTCTAAAGCAGTCCAGCCCTCTTTCCTCGTCCATCCTGTCTGTGATACTACCATGGGGGAACTTCCAGATCCTCTTCGGCAGGAACGGCTCACCACTCCTACCGTCTGGCTGCCGAGAGTGCTCACTCCTTGTCAGCACCGATTTCTCTGTCCTGCAGCCACATGAACCACCAGCACATGCCGGCCCACCTGCCCCAGCAGCCTGCCCACGGTCCTTTCCTCCTGCGATCACATCTTCACTAACCCATTCCGTAACCTGGTGCTACAGTCACTAGCCTAATTAGAGACGAGAACATGGCATACCCCTGTTCACAACCTTTCATGGTTTCCCACTATTTACCAAATTGGGTAAAACGTTCGGGCTGAACACAACTGTTCACTAATTTATTCAGCCGGTTTCAATTTAGCAGCTGCCATGCAGTGGGCGCTGTTCTAGGATGATAAGCATGTGGCATCTTGTCTGGGTACCTTTCTGTTTAATCAGACCTGTCAGAGAAAATAATTCCAGTATCTATCCTATTTTGGTAAGTCCAAAATGTATCTAATTCACTTTCTTTTTTTTTTTGTTTTTTTGTTTTTTTGTTTTTTTTGTTTTTTTGTTTTTCGAGACAGGGTTTCTCTGTGTAGCTTTGCACCTTTCCTGGAACTCACTTGGTAGCCCAGGCTGGCCTCGAACTCACAGAGATCCGCCTGGCTCTGCCTCCCAAGTGCTGGGATTAAAGGCGTGCGCCACCACCGCCCGGCCTCTAATTCACTTTCTATCCTAATTAATCTTCAACTATAACTAACTAATCTTCAACTCCCTCAGAGACCCAAGAAGGAAATAATATTAGCTAACATGAATTAATATGCCCAGATGTGTAATATCCTTCAAAGGTATCTTTCTAATCCAAGTAGTACCTCTACTGTCCTAGGCTCCAAGGAAGCCAAAATAAGCCCGGGCCCTTCACTTTGGTGATGTTCTTAAATTCCTACAGTTCTTTGGGGATTGTTTCCAGGGTCACGCAGTGGCAGCACATCACAAACAGCTTCATTTCTTTGTAAGGAGCACGTGTCTTCAAATAGAAACAATTTTCCAGTTGAGCAAAAAAAGCTTAAGTTAAACTGGCCTTGAAATAATTTCTTAGCTATCCCAAAGAACTAGTTTGTCCTTCAACAGCAATGCATGCCTCCACTGAGAGTTGAAAACAAAACCAAAACACAATTCCTGACACATCTTAATGACCACGGGAGCCTTACAGAGATACCTCCCAGGCTATTATTCTGAAAAGAGCATTTATTAGACAGGTAGCTGGTCAGTCACACTGCTCTCTGTACTACTTATTTGTGTGTGTGTGTGTGTGTGTGTGTGTGTGTGTGTGTGTGTGTGTGTGTGCAGGTGCACGTGCCTCGGTGCCAAAGCCAGAAGATGACATCAGGCGCCCTGCTCTATGGCTCCCTGCCTTGTGCCTTGGACAGGGGTCTCTTGTTGACCATCAGCAGTCTTCCTGTCTACAGCACCCACAGACCGGCGTTACAGGTGCATGCAGTGGTGCCCAGCTTTCTACATGGATGCTGGGGATCCAAACTCAGGGCTTCATGTTTGCAGAGCCGGGCTCTTACCCACCGAGCCATGATTCTCCAGGCCCTCTACAGCCATTCTGTTGTGTGCGTCCGTGTCTTTCCTGATAACACATGGAGGGGATCTGTCCAGCATGGTTAACTAAACCTCACAGTGCTGAATGGACGCCTGCTGTTCAATGAACACATATGAAACGGAGTGCAGGGACCTTCCGACGAGTCCGGGAGAACTCGGAGCCTGTGTGGGGCTGACAGACCGCCACCCTCTCCACACTCACCTGGAGCTGTATTTCTTGAGGATGGCATCCAAAACGCTAACCAGCTCCTCCGTGTTGATGAACTTCTGCGTGCTGAGGGCGTACATCTTCTCGTAGAAGTCTGCCATCTCCATCCGAGCCTGGACAAAGAAACAGAGCTGCTCTGACAGGTGGGGGAGAAGCTCCTCCACGTGAGGAGCCGTCCCGCCCGGGGCGCCTCGGCCCGTCACCACTTTCTTCAGCTCGTTATGCAGGGAGGTGTAGACGGTGCGGATGGAGTCCTTCCTGCTGAAGAATGACTGGCCCCCTGGGAAGCGAACGGCAGAGGCACAGGACCGGTAAGGCACACAGACACAAGGACCAGGCACCTCCCAGCACCCACGGGGAAAGAACTGGAACCTGTGGAGCTCAGTGAGCCTGTGTCTACCACACTCTCTGACTCAAGGAGTGGGGTACGGATACCCCACGTCAGCACTTCACTGAGGAACAAGTCAAAAATGGGCACTTGCTACAAATCCATCTTACTCACGTAACCATTGTCCCCTACTCCACAAACACCCAAAATTATTTGAGAACATAATTACCCTAGCATATAACATAAACCTGGATTTAAAAAATTCTCTTTTTTATAGGTCATACTTTCTTAAAAAGGAGAACACAAGGATTCTAAAACACTTCCATTAGAACTGGCAGCCCGGCACACATTGTTCCCTCTTCAGAGGTGCATTTTTCTTGAATTGTATCTTTTAGGCCGTGCCGGGAAATGAGAATGCATGCTCACACACATCCTTTTACGAAAGACCACACACTGAGATATCGGAGCTGGGGACTGCCGTGCTCCTGACAAGGTTGACAATGTGGGCTTCATAATAAGTGCCACAGTGTGAATTAAGACCAAGAACCAATTATAACTGCCGCTCTACCGCAAAGGGAACCCGCCCGAGAATCAGGGCAGCCGCATCGTCGCCGACGGTGGAAAGGGACCCACCAGTCGAGGAATCGCTTCCTTCCTTGTGAATTTGTACATGACTAACTGTATCTCTAATCACAGAGCCGGCTTCACGGATGTTTTCCGAAGCATTTGCTCTCCCATCCAAGAGCCAGATGTGAGACTTTAGCAGAATGAAAAGGAACAGGAAGTGCTTACAATTGTGATTTCTGCAAATGTACAAAAATCTCGGGGAGTTCCTGTTAGGCTCAGAATACTTTCATGAAATGAATTTATTGATATTATAAATACACTAAGACTGAAAGTTAACTCTTAAGGCATTTGAAAAATATCCTCTTAATAATTCATTTCAGAATACTGTTTTTAGTTCACTTCTTGGCTTACGTCTCAAGAAACGAACCTTACGTCCCTTGCTACTACGCTGACCAACTGTACCCAGATGTTCCAGGTCTTAACACTGAAGGTCTGACTTGCCAGGAAAGCCTTCATCCAGATGTTCTGTTGTCTAAGCTGGGCCTGACACACGCAATTCTCCCACTTCATCCTCTGAACAGTGTGATACAGGGGTTCAGCCCCACATCTAAAGGCCCCCAACCTGGAAGCCCTACTCGACGCTGATCCCTAAGTTTTGAATTCTACAGAAGTATTTTCTCTCACATACATGGGGAATGGCAGCACTCATAGTGACGACACTTCTCACAGCTCTGTCCTCCTTGTCTATATTCTGATTTTATAGTGACTGGTGTAGAATAAACAGTCCTCCATGCACATGTCTAGAACAAAGATCTCCTAAGTTAGGAAGGTAATAAAAGTGTCATACAGAGCTGGTTATGACAGCACACACCTATATAACCCCAGAGCTTGAGAGACAGAGGCAGGTGAGTTCCGGGTCAGTCTGCACAGTGGGACACTGTCTAAAAACCAGACCACGGCATCAGAACGCATCACGCAAAAGCCCAAAGCTCTACAAGTCTAAAGGACAATTTCAAGTCCTCACTGCCATACTTAAATGCTGTGTGACATTCAAACAACCTCGCTGTTCTGAGCGTTAAATGTGTCACTGTCAACATAAAACCAGAACTGTTGAGAAGACAGATGAAACAGCCCTTTGAAAAGGCCCAGAAAGAAGGATGAACTCAGTCTTACTGGTCTCTTCTTTCCACTGAACTGACGGTATTCAACTCCCAATAACATATAACTGAGCCTGGAAAAGCCTGTGGCAAATTACTATTTAACAGATAGGTGACCTCGATTCTGCTCACTTCCCCTGTTAAAAACAAAACAAAACAAAACAAAAAAAAAACCCAGTGGCCATAGCAAAAACTTGAACTTTGCATTGAAAAAGTAATGCCTACCCCCATCATATCATAGGGGAACAGAAATACAACACAAATTCAAATGATACCTCTAAAGGCCTATCTACACCGGTCACCAGCAGATAAAACTAATACAAGCAAGAGAGATCACCAATACCTTACTTTTAATTCTATCTCTTTTCCCAAAGCTTTCTTGGCTACCCTACCTTCTAGTACCCAATGAGGACCAATCTTCCTTCGTGCTGGGCAATCAGAAACACCCAACTCATTTCTCTCTCAGTACTTTCAACTTACTAATTATGATGTTTTGGATTTTTTTCTAGAATGTTCTAGTTACCAATGACCATTATTTTCCCAAGGTTTCAACCTTTTATCCCATATGAAATTTAAAGCATAAAGGACATGTTAAGTATGAAGGGCAATAGTTAATCCCAGCACTCGGGAAGCAGAGGCAAGTGGATCTCTGTGAGTTCGAGGCTAGCATGGTCTACAGAGTGAGTTCCAGGGTAGGCTCCAAAGCGACACAGAGAAAGGCTGTCTTGAAAAGAACCGAGAGAGAGAGAGAGAGAGAGAGAGAGAGAGAGAGAGAGAGAGAGAGAGAGAGAGAGAGAGAAAAGAGAAGAGAAAAAGAAAAGCACATGTTAAGCATCCTGAGCATTTCGCTCTACAACTTCTTTGTAATGACCTCCATTCTCAAGTCACCTCCCGGCATGCCAAAGTTTATCAATCAGAGTTTGAGGAAACACCCCTGTAATGACTCAGAGACCAGGGCAGTAGGACAACCTCAAATCCTCCACTGCTGCCCACTCTGCCCATTTTAACCACTGTTCTCTTCCCAAACTAGTATTCTTCTGCCAGTAAAGCTAGGAGAAGTCGCCAAGCTAAGTCACCCAGTTTTTCAGGAATAGAGCCGGGACACTGACAGAAGGCTCCTGTCAGGTCTGTCCTTTGTTTAAAGGCCCATGCTCGCATTTTTCATCAGGACCATCTGCTAGAGCTTCAGACAGAGGTCAAAGACTTTTTTGTGTGTGACAGGGTCTCACTTTGTAACCCCAGCTGACCTTTAATTCCCCATCCTCCTGCTCCCATCTCAGGAGTACAGGGATCACAAGCACACTGTACCACTGTATCAGTTTAGACTCACTTGATATTCGCTAAGCCAGTTAGATCGTAAGTGTTCCCACCACAGAAAGAATGAGGTGGTAAGATACATCAATCGCCTTACTATGGTGATCACTGCACAATGTATGTCAAAACATCTACTTAGATATCCTAAGTATATATAGTTTTTCTTTGTCAATTATATCTTCAAAAAATTTTTCTAAAGACTTTTCAGACCATGTTTCTTTTTGTCTTTTGAGACAGGGTCTCACTATGCAACCCCAGCGGGCTTGGAACTTTCTATGTGCACCAGGTGAGTCACGCCTGTCTCTGACTGACTCCTCAGTGGGGAGATTAAAGGCATGTACCACCATCCCCAAACCATGTCTCAGATTTTTAAAGAGTCTGAATAATTGTTTCATTTCGCTTTACCAAGAAAACCATATGAACTGCAAAACGATTACAGAACGTGGTACTACTTTAAATAACAATTCTCCCGTTCTCTGATAAAGTCCAACTGCAATCACGCTTGCGCCAGTCCACGCATACAAAAACGTTCAATTTTTAAGCTCTGAAACTCAACTACACCGACTATCACCTGAGCATGTAAGTTATGAAGGACTTCAACACGCCATTTTCAGAACGTTTCCTGGGAGGTCAGCCCTAGAGCGCCCAGGCAAGTTTTACGGTGTGAACTGATGGGCAGTCAGTCACCTTCAGGTCAGGTCCCTGAGGCTCGCCTACAAGACAGCTGAGGTTCAATCACAACTCAGCACTTTATTTACACAATAATGGGCACTTCGCAGTAGCTGAGCCAATGACCATAAAGGATTTCTACACGTTCAAAGCTGACGTGCCCAGTTCTCTTTACACAGAAACCTGGCGCACACAATTTAAACTTAGTGCAGCTTTTGTTTGTTTATTTTTCCTGGAACCCACAAATGGACTTTAGGAAACCCATTTGTTCTTTCTCATTCTCCCCCTCTGGTTATGTATACGATAATAAGTACATATATTTGGGGGAGCGGGGTGTAACTTGGCAACTTTCATTACATTCCTGTAGATGACCTCAAACAACAGGAAAGTTAAGAATCATGGCGTGTGGCTCTGTCGCCACTTTTGATAGACAGGGAAGCCTAAAACAACCCAAACTGCTGGAACATTATCTACCTTCGCTATTACAGCTAGAATACATATATATCATATACATACATGAATATAAAGCATATAAATTATAATAAATGTGCATGTTTTAAATCAATTATACGTATACCCTCAATCTGATAACTCAAGGCAGGTGCTCAGGTTTGAGATCCGCGGCCTGCTGCCATACATGCATACACAATTCACCACACTGTAGAAAATGGAAACTGTAACACTGTAATAGCAGCCGAACATTTGTGTGAGGTAACACTGTACAGAGGAAAACACAGAGAGGGTGAAATCCCTGGCCACTTTTTGCCAATAAATGATCATATTAAGTTACAAGTTATTTGAAAAGCTATAGACGTTAAGGTGTCGGGGAAGCCCTTTCTCTTGACGGTTTAGCAAACATTCAGTTACAATTCTTGGCAACAGAAAGGGATTAACTCTATATGTATTTTACACTCACTTTCACATCAATGTTCTTTTTTATGCCATAGATGTGTATCCTTCATTCATGAAAGGCCCTGGAACCTTTAATATCTAAAGGGTCCAAGAGAAGCCAGCGCACTAAATCTACCCCAACTCTCTGGGCGTTAGCTATCATTTGCCATTATTATTACAAGTAATACTTTGAATGCACAGCCCTTGGCGTTTATGCACGAGTTCCTTATCAACGGATACCAATTGTTTCTTGTAGTGGTAATCAGTTAAAAGGGTTCCTGCCATCTTATTTACAGGAGGACTAGCAGCGTGCACCCTAAGAGTCTTCTCCTCTTAAAGATTGGCTCAATTCTTGCCTTTCCTGCCCAGGATCCACCTAACTCCTTCATTCACTAAATACGCACTGACGTACTATGGGAAGAGGGGACAAGACTCCATCTGTTTTAAGAGGCCAGACAAAAACAGTATTTATTAACACAACTAGGATTCTCCATGCCCTGCCTGGTTTTGCTCCTCAGACCGCAGTGTCACTAGTTTGGGGGGGGGGGGGGGAGACACACAGAACTTGGTTAACTTGTCATTTATGAAACCGATCCATGCACGGTTCAAAACCGTCAACCCCAGGGGTTTGGAGGGGGTAGGGGAGGGATGCCCAGCAAAGAGCATCCATCTGCCCAGTCCACCAAGGCAGCAGCAGCGTCAGCCACGGCGACAGTGGCTGCACAGCCGGTGGGCGGGGCTTGCGGCAGCGGAGGAGGAGGAGGAGGAGGAGGAGGAGGAGGAGGAGGAGGAGGAGGAGGAGGAGGTGGGGGGGGGGGAGGTGGGAGGAGACCTAGGCAGAGTGGAGTCCGCCGCTGGGAGTGAGTGCCGGGACACCCAAGCCCGGGCGGGCGCACCCCCTTTCCTTCCTCCCCGAGGGGCGGGGGCTCGGGGCGGAGGTACCTAGTTTCTGCCCCAGGTAGGTGAGGCTGTGATAGACCTTCTCGGCCGCGGCCAGGTGCGCCAGGGCCGCCAGCAGCGACAGCCAGCTGCCCCCCGCGCTCTTGTTGGCCTCCCGTTCCTTCTCCACATTGTCCTTGGCCTTGTCGTAAGAGAAGATGCCCAGGTGGGAGAAGAACGTCTCCAGCACCGCCTGCTCCACCGGCACCGGGGCGGCGAGCGGGATAGACTCCCCCATGCGACCTGCGCGGCGCCGGCTCCACCCACGTGGCTCCGCTCGCACTTCCGGGTTCCGAGGGAGGGGCGCGCCTGCGCAGCCGCGTGCGGCCGTGCGTGCGTGCGTGCGCGGGCCCGCGGGCAAACCGGCTGGCTGGCTGGCTAGCTGGCTGGGGCGCAGCGGGATTGCTCCGGGACCTCGCGGAGGGCGTGACGGGGGTGGGTGGGTGGCGGGAGGATGGAGGAGGCGGCTCCGCGGACGCAGGAGAGACCCGCTGCAGGGCCCCCCCCCCCCCCCGGCAGGCTGGCCACCCCCCAGGCCCCCTGCGGCGTCCAGCCCCTGTGCGAGGGTGACGTCACGCGGGCTTGACGTCAGCTCTGACGTAGACATCAGAGAGCCCTGATCAGCCCCTGACACGCCTGGAGGTGGAAGTCTGGTTTTCATCCCTGCGCGCACACACACACACACACACACACACACACACACACACACACACACACACACACACACACACACACACACACACGCCATCCCTGCACACACACACACACACACACACACACACGCCATCAGGTAGAGAGCCCTGATCAGCCCCTGACATGCGTGGAGGTGGAAGTCTGGTTTTCATCCCTGCACACACACACACACACACACACACACACACACACACACACACACACACACGCCATCAGGTACCCAAGTCGGTGCGTTTTTGTCCTGCAGGTTCTTCACAAGCTCGTGTGACGTTTAAGAACCTCCGGGCGGTGGTGGCGCACGCCTTTAATCCCAGCACTCGGGAGGCAGAGGCAAGCGGATCTCTGTGAGTTCGAGGCCAGCCTGGGCTACAGAGCGAGTGACGCAAAAGCTACGCAGAGAAACCCTGTCTCGAAAAACCAAAAAAAAAAGAAAAAAGAACCTCCGGCTCAGCTCGCATATATGTCTGCTATCTTGAAATGCCCGCCCACGACCCACTCAGTGTTTTTTTAATTCCCTTTGCATATTTTGTATTTTAAAGATACATGCTTATTGTACACCAGTCACACGGAGTGTGGGTGTGTCTGTGTTTACGCGTCTCTTTCCCGTCAGTGGTGAACTGACTCGGACAGAGACTCCAGTCTATTTACCATTTTAATGGTTCGTAATGGAAATGGGGGTGCTTGTTGAACAACTGAAAGAGCTGCCTATCTTCATTCCCCCAAAAAAACTAGAGCTATTACCCCCCCCCAAAAGTAGAGCTGTGGTATCATCATTACCTATGGGTTTTATATATACATTTGGTTTTCTTTGTTTGGTTTGGTTATATGAGGCACAGTCACCCTGCATATAGCCCTGAGTGGACTGGAACTCTCTATGTGGTCCAGGCTGGCCTTGAACTCACAGAGACCAGCTTGCTCTTCCTTGGGACTACAGGGTTAAAGGCTTGGCCACCACTGTGCGTTTGTTTCCCGCCCTCAAGAGTGTACTTAGATAAGCTCAAGCCTTTCAGCTGTGTATAAGGCGGGGTTTTGTGCTTGACAACCGTAGGGAAGGGGAGAAGAGCAATCATCTTTTGAAGACTCAGGGAAGCTTCCTGAGAATGTGCCGTTCATGAAGAATGAACAGAAGTTAAAAGTCAAAGTGTAGTACTGCCCCCCATACCCACAGACAAGGACAGTGTTCATTCCCAGCATTCCCCAAGAACACAAGAAGTCCTTAGATCGGTGGTTCTCAACCTGTGGGTCACAACCCCTTTGGGGGGAGAGTCAAACAACCCTTTCACAGAGGTCACATATCAGATATTTACATTACAATTCATAACAGTAGCAAACTTAAATAGCAACGGAAATCATTTCATGGTTGAGGGTCAGCACAGCATGAGGAACTGTACTGAAGGGTCACAGCATTAGGAAGGCTGAGGACCACTGATTTAGACGATAAAGACGGCATCATCGTCACAAGGGGAAAGAAACTTAGGGATAGTGATCGTGAAGGAGACGTGAATGCGTGGGAAAGACTGTCCACTTGTTTCCTGTAAAAAAAAAAAAAAAAGTAATTAAAAACCATAAGCTGAGGAAAGTAAGCATGACTAGGTCTAAAGAAAGAAAAACTCATATAAATGCACTGGAAGAGTCCAATTGACTTGATGTATAAAGAAGTGAATATGTTGACATGTTAATGGTACAAGTTAGTGAGTTTCACTGTGACCTTTCCATGCATGCATATGTCATGCATTGACTGTGTCCGCCCTCCCCTTGCCTCTCCCTTGCCTTCTCCTCTCCGACTCCCTTCCTTTGGCACCCTTCCCAGTCCCTAACAGTCCCTCTTCTCACATCTCAAGAGAACACGACGGAACCCTGAGAAAGACAAATTACAGTATGTGCCAGATACAGGGCTAATGCTTTAGTGGACCAAGACCTCTTTCTAACCAGTGAAAATAAGAGGTTATGGGCCGGGTGGTGGTGGCGCACACCTTTAATCCTAACACTCGGGAGGCAGAGGCAGGCAAATCTCTGTGAGTTCGAGGCCAGCCTGGTCCAGAGAGCAAGTTCCAGGACAGTTAGGACTACACCAAGAAACCCTGTCTCGGAAAACCAGAAGTTAAAAAAAAGAGGTTATGGGGCTGTTTAAATGGCTAGGCAGGCAAGAGCACTTGCTGCCAAGCCTGGGGCCCTGGGTTGGATCCTGGGAACCTACATATTAGAAGGACATACTTAGTCCTGCATGTGATTTCCATGTGAGCACACATGTATACTCAACATACAAAACAAATGTTTGAAAGGCCGTGAATGTACTAGTCTCAAAAGACATATAAAACACATTTTTTATGCCCGGCTTCACCCATCAAAGAAATGCAAGCTAAGCTACTATATTCATCTTTGGCCTGTGAAATGAATAAATGAAACTTCTTTTTGATGAAGGGTCTAGGTAGACAAAGTTGGCCTTGAATAATCCTATGGTTCTGCTTTCCTGAGTGTTAGGTTTACAGGCATGATGACCAGACCCAACGTAAGCTTAAAACATCATTGTGTGTGTTTTGTAGTGGCATATAGTCACATGAGTTTGTGCAGGTGTGTTGGAGTGCACGTGCACATGTGTGTGCTTGCATGTAGAGACCAGTTATAATTTGAGGTGTCTTCCTTAATTTTCTCCTACCTTATTATATTTCCCCTATACTTATTTTTATGGGTGTTTGCTTATATGTATGTCTGAGTCTGTGTCCATGCCTGGTGCCCATGAAAGGAAAGTGGCATTTGATTCCCTGGAACTGGACTTACACATGGTTGTGAGCTGATAAAACACGGGTCCTCTGCAAGAGAAGTAAGTGCTCTTAAGCACGGAGCCATCCCTCCAACCCACGTCATGGCTTGAATCTGCCTTTGCCTAGTCAGTGCTGAGTACATTTATATGTACTTGTTGGCCGATTGTCTTCTTTGGAAAAATGTCACCGAGTTCTCTCCCCGACCTTCCAACCACCCTCCCTCTCTCTCCATTTGAATCACTATGTAATTCAGGCCCTGGGACAGCTCCCTGAAATCGTCCTGCCGGCTCAGAGGTCCAGCTCATCACACTCAGCTCTTTTGACCATTTTTTTTATTAGATTGCTTTTTGCTGTTAACTGCATGAATATTTATATATTTCGGTTATTAATCTCCTATCCGATCAGCTTGCAAATATTTTCTAAGGGCTACTTTTTTGTTTTGCTGATCGTTTAGTTTGACAAAGTCTTGCTTGTTTTTGCTATTGTTGCCCATACTTTGATATCCTCATTAAAACAAAGTCATTGGCTCCCTGATGTCAGGGAGCTTCCCCTCTTGTTTCCTCCAAGGAGTCTGACAACTTCCAGTTTTACGTGCACGTCTTTAACCCATTTCAAGTTCACTTTGAACATGCTGTTAGGGCTATGTTTTTTGTTTAGATACTCAATTTTTCCAGTGCCATTTACTGAAGAAACTATAGTTTCTTGTCTCTGCATGTTTATGTTCTTATCAAAGACCGATAGATTTGGGCATTGGTGGAGAACCTACTACTATTACTTGCAGTAGATGGCAGTTAATACAGAGACTCACAACTGGTCCCAGCGCAAAGAGTAAGTCAGACTGTGGAGTGCTCAGCAGGAAGTGGACATCTGCATCACATTCCTCCTCACCAAGGCGCAGGGAACATTGCAGGCAAGGAGACAGGAAGAGGACAAGAGCCAGAAAATGGGAAAGCCTGTTGTGGGGTATTTTGTTTGTGTGCTGACAAATAAAGCTTGCTTGGAGTCAGAGGGCGGAGCTAGCCACTAGTTAACCATAGAGGTTTGGAGGTCTGAACAGAGAGGCACCATAGAGGTTTGGAGGTCTGAACAGAGAGGCGACAGGAAGTAATAAGGCGGAGCAGAGATGGGATCCCTTTTGGTCAGAAGAGTCAGTGAGGTAGGAAGTGACTGTGGCTGCTCTCCTGCTTCTCTGATCTTTCAGCTTTTACCCCAATATCTGACTCCTGGTTTCTATTGATAAGATTAATTAGACTTACACTTCAGAAGCCTGCTGCAAAATCATGTCTTCTGAACATGGCGGACCTATTGAACCGTGAACTCATAGCGGCCGTGGCTGTCCGCTGTAGCCCTTCACAAGGTCAAGCTAGTCTTCGTTCCAACATGGATGGGGAAAGGCCCATGAGGTGCTCCTGGCAGTCCATCACTACTGGGAAAGGGAAAGTCATGCGACCCATGACAGGTTTCTCATGCTCCAGTGGACGACCCTATGCTAATGTGCACATGGGGTTATAAAAACAAATAAAAAGGACATGACGTTAGGAGGTGATTGTGGAGGGCAGGGTCCAGGATGAGTTGGTAGGAGGAATAGAGGTTGATACCATCTAAATACACTGTATGCATGTGTGAAATTACCAAAGAACAATTTTCTTTTTTTTTTTAAGATTAATGACCAGGCATTTAAGGATTGTTTCTGGGCTTTCTGTTACGTTCTGTTGGTCTGTGTTGGCCTTCATGACAATACCATGCAAACAGAAGGCTATGTATAGATAACTCTGTAATATAACTTGAAATAAAATGTGTCCCCATCTTTGTTCTTTAAAAATATATATATTTT